AATAATATTAGAATAATTCTAATAGTATTTTTTTTTAAATGTGTTTTTAATAAAAAAACTTGATATATTGATTATTCGATTTGAAATTTTTATTTGATTTATTAATTGTTTAAAGATTTATAAATTTCAATATATATTGATATTTTATTTTTTAAGAAGTTGTGCTTGTAAAGTAAAAAATGAGAAATGAATTTGTCCTATATAACAACAATTACTATCAGCTTCTTTAACTTGCTTCTTTTTCTATTCTATTAAAACTTCTTCTTGAAAAACTTGTGATCTTTTAGATTTATTAGATTGTTGATTAGCCAGTAAATTATTTTGAACCAAAAGTTCTAATAGATCAATTTCTTCTTTTTCTATACTATGTTCAATAATATTAGCAAATTGATCTGAATTTTTACAAACTACATAAGTTTGTTGATTCTGATTATAAAATTTTTTTCTCCAATTTGGATTATTAAAAATTTTGGCTAATTCTTGATATGCTATATTACCATAAAAAATACATTTGTATTTGCTAATGCATTTTGAATAATAATGAATATGTTCAATAAAAATTGAATAAAATAAACTTTCAGGACAGGGTATAATAAGTGTTTGTTTTCCAATAGATTTAAAATTAAGTGATAATTTTCAGTGAATAAGTGCAACTAGTGTGGCTTTAAATTTAGTTATTGTCTAAAGTAGAATTTTGTCAAGATCTTTACATCTTTTATTGTATTTGTACACAATTGTTTGATGAAGTTTTAAATCTTGAAGTGATTTAAAACCTTTTTTACAGATTAAACATATATTCATAACTAAAATTTTTAAAAAATAGTCTTTATTATATAGTTAAAATAAATTTTTATTATTTTTTAATAATTTTATTACTTACTTAAAAAAACCAATAGGTTTTAGGTAAGGCAATAAGTTTGAGATAAGTTTTATTATAGCTTTTAGATAGGACAACAAATTTGACATGAACTTTGTTTATAATATTTAAATTTATTAACCAATTAACATATAAGTTTTTGTACTACCAATAAGTCAAAATTTGTAAATCAGCAGATATGATCTATCACTATAATAATGCACTCAAAAAATGAATATTAGATTTGTAATACAAACAAAATTTTATTATTAGAGTTAGAAGTAGCTGTAATAATAAAATTGCCAGATTAAAACTTTTTATTAAAGCACAAAAAATGGGTTCTTTTAATTTTTGTTAAATGACTTTTTGGCAAATCAATCCTAATTATATTATATTATACTCAATCCAAAATCTGATTCATAGTTTAGAAGCAAATTAGATGTACATTTTTCAAATATCATATTGATATTTCAAGTTTCTTGTATTTAAAACCTTCAACTTTACAATCTAAGGCTTCCTATCATTATGGTTTATCAGTTTTCTTTTCTAATTATGTCTATATCTGTGTTATAATAAATCTTTGGGTTACTTAATATTAATATCATTTGTTAACAGATTACACCTTATTTGATCATCTCTCAACTTGTGATTATGTTGATATGAATCTTATTCTTTCTTTAAAGAGAAATTCTCCTAAGATTATAGCTAGTTATAGTCTTTGTGAAGTTGTTTATCAGCCAGTAAAACTCAAACTCATTATTTTGTAAGAGTGCTAACTACTATACTATTGACTAACAGATTGTTTAACTTTTTTTAATTTAACAAGAATGTAAATTGGCACAATAAATAAAAATTAAATTCTATTCAAAGTAGCAAAAAATAGAAAAAAGAGTTGAATTATATAATTATTAATAATTAACTTATAGTTTATATTTTATTATACTAGAAAGCTGTATGATGTTATCTTGCAAAATCAGAAATAGAAAACATCTAAAGCAAAGTAGATTCTTTATAATATATTTTATTAAATTAACTTTAGTATTAGGATCATTCTTATATTAGAGTTAGGTTAGGTTTTTAGATACTTAAATATAAGCAAAATTGCCTTTCTAACATTTTTAATTAACTTATCTGAGATAGGTTTAGACTGTTGTTTTTTATATTTTGGAGAGTTTTCATTTTTATTTACTGTTTTGCTTTACTAGCAATCAATAAAATTCTATGTTTTTATTGGTCTATATTTATATGATTCTGCTCTGCTTTAGACAACTCCATCTGTCACTCCAATGAACAAAACTTCATATAATGATATAAAAATAGCAGAACAAAGCTTTAAGACATAGATTTGATTTAGATGAGTATAACTCTTTTTCTTTAATTTTTTATTAGATTTTGTGTAAGCATTACAACTACTATTGCACTTTTAACTATATACTGTTTATTAGATACTTTGATCTTTTTAATTCTTTTTAGAATGTAAAAGATATTTTTTTTATTAAACTTTTGTTTTGCTTTTATATACTTTTTTTTAATATTAACTAATTCTAATTGTTTTAGGTTCTACTCCTACTTTTTTTACTATTCTGCCACTATACAATTATACTATTATGGTTTTTATTATTTTTTTTCAGTATTAAGATGATCTTTTTGGTTCTAGCTTTTTATTAATACTTATGTTAGATACATGTTTTATATAGACATATTCTTATTAAACTATTAGACAAGTATACAACTAGCTACATATATAACTTTTCTATATTATCTATTTAAGGAGTCCATCTAAGAGTTTCTTACCAGTTGCCATACCTAACACCTCTACTTAGATGTTCTATTTAAATTCTTTAATCTAATCTTAGTATTAATTTTATCAGATTACAGACTCAGATCTATTTGCTTTTAACTATAGGACTATAATCCTTAGACTATTTTTTTCTTCAAGGCAAACCTATCAGAGTGAGCCATATTTCCTTTTATCACTAGCCTGATTTGATACTATGGCTGAGACCAACACTTGCAATTAAAGTTATACATTAATTCATTATTACTCTTGTAAAGTTTACCCAAATCCTGATACTCATTTTTTTGACTTTTTCTTTATTATTTACTACTAGTTACAACTTGAAACCAACCAATGTCTCAAACTTTTAATCCAGATGATTCAGTATAGTATACTTATATATTCTTTTTTTTTAGTAATTATGGTAACCTGGTTGGTTATATGCTTCTTTATACATCATGTTATTCAGTTTATTCAACAGTTCTTATAAAGATGTTTTATAAGCTTCTATTAGTCCAATGCACTATTAAAAGTTTGTGATATCTTTTTATTTAGAATTTTTAAGTAGGCTTCTATCTTCTCAGTTTCTTAGCCTTTTACAACTGGTAATCTTATCACAGATTTGCACTAAAGCCTTATACAACATCAGTTTTTTACATTTCTCTATATATGTATAATATTACACTTTGCATAGATGCCCCAAGGTCCTAATATCAGGTAGGACCCAACTTGGTATACTTAAGATTACAGATACCCAAAACCCAACTGATTGGTAAGAGACAGTTATTATAACACAGGTATAATTTCCAAAATTTGTTATCTGTGGAAATTGAACCTTAGACCTGCCACTTGAAGATTAACAACTTATTTACTTTACTAGATTGTTACACCCTATTATTGCAGGTTTCATCTAACCAAGTAAGTATTATATTCTATATATTTGTATTTTACTTTATTTTAATATACTTTATTAACCAGTCTTTTTAATATTTTAGATTCAGCTACTCTGAAACATTGATATTATAGTCATAATTCCTTTTCTAATTTGGGACATCTGTCTTGTTTTGTTTGTCTTAGGATGGGGTTTGATTATGCAAATTTTACTGTTATAGAGGTCGATTATGCATATATGATCTGTGGATCCCAATTGTTGTTTATGCTACATATTATTATATACAAATTGTTACTTTTTCTGATCTGTAATATTGGTGTAATTAAATAGTTAATATGGTTTTTGTGTTTCAATTTTTATCTTAATAAGATTATAAATTTATAATTGAATTTAAGAATACTTTTAAAAAATGTATACAAAAAAATCTTATTTCTTTTGAATTAATTACTTATATATATTTTAATATTTATTTAAAAGGTTGTATTTTTATTTAATGACTATATTATTTATCTGATATATACATGATTTTTGCAATTTGCAAATTTATTATTATTATTAAAGTATATTTAATATAAATAAAATAGTAAAAAAAGCTTAATTTTTAATTATTAAATAATTGTAACTAAATTGTGACAATGCATTGATTTCTAAATAAAATAGTAACAAAAACTTAATAATTTTATAATTATCTTATTTTTAAATTATTAAAAAATTGTAATTAAATCATGATGATACATTTTAAAATAGTAATAAAATTGTAATTAAACTATTACAATTTGATTATTTTATTAATAAATCATAGCAAGATCTTGATGATCTTTAACTGCCTACATAAATTGCACATTTTAATATTAACACATTATTTATTTTGAAAATATTTTTACTATAACTGCTTAGTATCAATTAGATATTAACTTTTTTACTATTAAGTTAAATAATTATCATAAAGCTATTATGTTATTATAACAATCTTTAATTATGAATAAATCATAAAAATATTATAGTAATTTTATACTAACTATATAGATTACTCATATTAATATTTTTTTTTTCCTTAAGCAGTTATGTAGTACTTTATTAAACTATTTGTAGCTATTTATGTAAATATAAAATATTATTTAATTTATAAGTCTATCATCATTCGGTCATTCAAACAGTACCTAAATGTGACCTGTTATACTAATCCAGTTAGGACTAGAAATTACAACTCATCTGAATTCTGCTCTACAATAGGATACTACCAATCTGAAGATATCTTTTCGTAGAGAAAAAAAAACAAAAAAAAAGAAAATAATTTTAAAGTTAGAAAAGGAAGGAATGAAAATGATGAGTAAAATAAAACTAAACAAAAAGAAAATAAAACCAATCTATAAGAAGAATAAAGGAGAAAACCTGCTAACAGAATAAAACTCTATTCTATGATTGCTGCTCACTACAATGTTTTCATATTTTTATGAACTATAACTATTCTCTAGAAACTAGATACTCTTAATCAGAATAAAAACTGTATTCACTTATAGGATGGAGTTTGAACTTGGTACTTTCCATATAAGAGAAATCTTCAAGTAGGTGAGGTACTGTGCCAAGGTTTGGAGTGCACTTAAGTAGTCCAATTCTTCATAAACTCCTGTAACCCTTTTTTTAAAAAATATTATGTATATGGCTTCAGAATATATGCATATCTCAATATATTTTTGATCTTTCCAAATTAAATTTTTTTTTAATCTGCTTCACATGAATGGCTAACTCACATGTTAATTGTGTTTCTTATTCACCATATCTAAATAAGAATATAATCGTAAAAAGAAGTAATGCACAATGTCAATCTTTTGATAGGAATAAGCCAAATTCCTACTTTTCAAAAAAAAAGAAAACAAAAAAAAAACAAAAAAAAGATATATTATTGTTGCAAGGGTTCAAGTTAAGGAGAGTTTTTCTTGTTATTTTTCTTTTTCTTCTGCTTCTAATATTCTTAATCAGAGAACTGATTTTGTCTCTGCTTGCTTCCAGAATATCCTTCCAGTTTGAATGCCAAATATGCGAAGGAGTCTACCAAACAAAAAACTTGACCCAAGACAAGAACTATTTGAGTTTCACCTGCTTCTCAGTGTATTACATACTTGAGCTTTGTTGACAGCAAGTTTACTTAATATAAAACTAAAAATATTATCCACTTTGAAGCTAGAGTCTTTAATCTATTTTCAGTACCAACTTGGTTCAGATGATCATCAGAAAGAGTTACATATTAATATTATTATATTATTAATATGTTATTA